ATCGTAGACTTTAATACCCAAACGTTAGTCAAACACAAGTGTTACTACTCGTGTAGACACACCAGACAATGCGTAATGCATAATTTAGTGCAGTTCCATACTGACTTAGAAAAGTAATATTCATATAATTTTTATTATGCTTAGCTTTAATTACTTCAAATGACTCCTTGACTTGCCCTAACTGATAATTAATACAACTATCCTTATATACTATTAATATAGTTATTATCTGTGGGTGCCTTGATAGCCGCCTTACAGCCCTCTGTGTTTTTTGTTTAACTTTTTAAAATATAATAATATTGTCTTATTAAGTATGCCAGGAATCGGCCACAACTAGGCAGGTAGAGTGTTTTGAGGCCACACTATGTCAGAAGGACAAGGTAGCCTCCATGCTGCAACAAAGATACTGTCACTTCTCCGGTGGCATTTATGTTGACAACCTGTGAGATTAGCTTACTTGTTAACTTATCCTTTACTAAACTAGTAATTTCTGTCCTATTAGGGCAGCTAACAATCTACGGACTCGGATTTCTACTAAGATGAGCTATGGATGTTGTGCTAAGTCGCCGTAGGTTATAGGGCCTGCCGTGGTCATTTGAAACAGGTTATAGATTACTGTGGACAATATAATCTGGACCTATCCGCTCTTTGACTGGTGTTAAGAGTATAAGTTCGATCGAATAATGCGGCGAACAGACACGGTTGTCAGCCCTGAACGAGAAATGCCGGTCCGACACAGGTTAAATTCGCTACAGTGAACTGACGATACCTGGGCCATGAGTTCGTCTCACGTTGCCATGTTTCGATCGCGGAAGAGGTCTGACTAAATCAGAGCAGAGAACTGCCATCGTATCTGCCATTTGTCTCGTCAGCATACGACCTCTAGTGTTGACTGCTGGCTACGAAAAGTTTCTAGTGCCCCAAGTGTTTGTGAAGTTACCCTTTTCCTCGACATCGTCTGTGAACTTGACAGGTTCCTCGGCGATCCCTGCCGTCACGACCCATTTGCAATGCATTCTGAAAGGTCTTTAGTATCCTTAATAGTTCGGCAGACACAACATCATCGGTAATGGACATCGAACTGGCGTTGCTGAGGTTCCAGTGCTTATCGTGCGATCCTAGGAGAAGGGCTCACGATATTTTTCTTCTCTAAGACGATTGAGGCGCTGTGTGGACTACGCGACGGCTCGATGCTACCTGCCAGGAACAGCTCATCCACCTGCTCATCCGAGTTTTTCGGATAATACCTGTGCTTTAGAGGTTTGTGGTCTTTCAGGAACCGATGCTCTACGATATATGAGATCCCCTCCCTGGTGCTTGTTCCAGTTCTTACTCCAGGATTTCGCACAGGTTCGGGTCCAGATACGCTGATTTTCCCCTCATCCACGGGGGTTCACTTTTCGCCTCATCTCCACCAAAAACACTCCGAGCAAAAATGGAGCTCTAAGACTTTCAGAGTGGGTTTATCCGCTCCACTCTAGCTCCCGTTCTCAATTCTCTGGGTGAATCCTAACCTTGCCCCTACTTATGCCATTTTCTGGCATATTTTCGCCATATCACCCCCATTATCAGCGCAGAGCCGTTGCTGCTACCATCCCGTCGGTCCTTCCCATCTTTATTACTGTTCTCTTCGTTCGGTTGCCTAGCAGACACCCCTTTACCCTGAAGAAAGAGGCCTTCTTCGGCTCTTTGCCTAGGCTGGCATCCCAGGCCTCGCGGTTGGTTTTTAGGACCAGATAGGCGTGGCCGCATCGTAATGTTGGGCCCATCGCACAAAGTATAATATAGGCTAGCATGGAAGGCATATGAGCATCGGCATGCTTATCACATTCCAATATCTAATCACATGGCTTTCTATACATCCAGCCTGGATCTGTCTGCGCTCCCCTCAATCGTCTACTTGCGTAAGCAATCTTAGCTTATGAAGCTGCGAGTGGCCCGGTGTCGATTGTCGCAAGCGTTGTCTGCACGACAAACTTGACTGTTGCGAAGATTGTTGTTCCTTAATGCCTTTTCTTCTCCCCTTTTTATTTTTTTTCAAATGCAACAAAAAAATATAAATAAAATAAAAAACCTCACCTCTGTCCCAACTAGAACTCACTTCGTTGTTCCTTGTTCATCGCTGTTCATATCCACTATTCACTAAGTATTTTTTTACCCTTGCAGAGGTAATCATTTCTTGTCTCGAAATGTGTAACGCACGGAAGGAGATATCTCCGGCCCCATATAGTATATATATTCTTTACCAGTATCAACAGCCGAATCGATATACCCATGTCCGTCTGCCCGTCCGTCCGTCTGTGTGTCTGTTTCTATGCGAACTAATCTCTCAGTTTTAAAGCTATCGTCCTCATTAACGTCCTGTCGAAAAGGAGGTTGTTGTATGAAAAACTTCTTTGCTTAGCAATCTAGCTTGACCAAAATTAGGCATTTATTAGTGTTGATTTGCTAATGTTTTTAGTCTCTGTTTTGCAACTTAAGCTAAAAATGTAAGTCAACTTTGGCGTTTATTTGTTTTTTTGTTGAATTTATAGGTTATAAAGTTAATGGCTAAGGCTCAGAACTATTTCTTCACTTCGGCTCGATCAGCAACGAAAGAACAAGTGGGTGATATAGCAGCTGCGACAATTGCAAAAGGGGCTTGCCAACCTTGTTTACAACTAACAGCTGCTTCACTAAACTAGGTGTGCGACCTCTTTTTATGATTACATGAATATTTGTTTCCGCTAATATTTGCGGCCGGTGCAGAATCCAACAATTAGTTTAACATTCTCATATATATGTAAAAATTTGTCAATATCGGACCACTATATCATGTAGATGCCATAGGTACCATGGGTCGAAAATTAATTTTTATTTTATAAGATATCGTGACCAAATTTGGCATTGGTTTCAGTATTTATACAAAATCGGACATCGGACCACTATATCATATAATTGCCATCGGAACGATCGGGCGAAAACGTAGTTCTTGTGTGAATAATTTTTTGTTTTTGAAAATATCTTACCAATACTTGGCGTTAACTATTTTCCCTGAATTTCTTGGATGTGAGCAAAGCATTATAAGCATTTTGAAAGGGTTCTGTCTGCAAGGGTATTCAATCTTCGGCGTACCGAATATATAAAAATGCATAATTATTGTTATAATTATTACCTTTTTAACCATTATTATTCTTTCTTCTTGACCCTTTATTATTTTCTTTCATGTATTCTCTTTTAATTTATTTCTTCACTTATTATTATTAGTTCTTTTATCGTTCACTTTATTGTTCACTAAAAAAAAAACGATTAGCTTTTTAACCGCACTTAAGCTGAGTTCCGTCTGACTCGCGCATTGTACTCTTTTCGATGGACCGTAACTTCACTGCTCGACTTTGCGCACACATTTCGTCGCTCACATCTTGTAGGTGTCCACATAGTGACAGAGTGCAGGGTGTGGGGAATATTAGTTTACGATATGCCCGACCAACAAATACCCTAGGCTAATATTTTATATATTTGTGGCTATTTATAAGCTACTACCTATTTATGAGCTGCATGGCTTCACTCACAACATACGTTGGATTGAATATACTCGAATTGAATTGAATTGAGTGAGTGCTAGGCTCACAATTTATCGAATGAGTACCAATGTGAATGCGTGTTGTATCTCATACAAGACGGTATTCAGCGAAACGAGTGAGAATAGATAAAGCGTAAAACGGAATGAAAAATTTGGCACAGCCGAAGAAACTCTAATTACTCGAATGCATGCCTTCATTTCGATTGATACAGCAGAATCAAGCAGTCAAAAGAAAAAACGGTGACGAGACTGTATGTATTTTGCATGCGCATTTAGTTGTATTTGTTTTGTTTTTTTCCTTTCTTCGTTTTTATTTTCGTCTTTTTTTATGCATTATATTTATAACAATTAAAAAAGCGAAACGGAACATCTTATTTCAACGCATTCCCACTCATTTAATTAGTTTTCTTTCGTTTCAATGTTGTGCGTCCGAGTTATACGTGACCGCACTCACTCACACAAACATATTCGGCTTTGCATTCAGTTTTACTCAAATTAAGTTTTGGCATTATTCATTTGAAAGTGGTTTTTTGCCATTCATGATATATAGTATCATTATTTTACTATTGTATGTTAGTCTAGAGTACTTCCAACTGTTAAATACCCTAGGATAATATGTGTGACCATGTACATATTTTTAATTTAGACACCTATTAGGGTACATCTGCAGGCTGCCGCAAATATGGCATGCACCTATACGACTCCTAGTCCCTACTCAGGCGCCACTTGTAAAGCAAGATATTTGTAAATTTTCCGTGAAGCTAAAGGAGGGAGGACTCTTGCAAATTCACTACACACATATTCACACATAGTATAACGTCATGCGTTTCTAAGAGCTGCTCGAGCTTACCTTCGACACTCTAAAGCGAACACTGACGTCGATACCTTAGAATTAGTAAAACCCGATTAGTAGAACACATAGCGTACTGCATATCGTAGAGCAGTTCGATATTGCCTTCAATGCACTAAGATTATCGTTACCACAAATGCCTTAAATCAAGCTGAACACGAATATCAAATGCCGGCTGCGAGCTGTGTGTTCGCGTCAATCGCTCAATTTCCACAGCTTTCGCTGTGGTGCTTTTCCAGAGAGGCGATAAGCAGCTGATTAGCGATCCATGGTTGCAACGACCGGTGGCCGTTACATTTAAAACTGATCTTACAAGGTATAATTCATATAATTTGGCTCATTGCCCCTAACTTTAATAAATTCAAATGTCTCCTTGCTTTTCCTTTAATTATAATTGATTGATCTGTACGGTAGCCTTGGTAGCCGCTACACAATATTCAGATTTAATGCTGTGTTGTTTGGTTTTTCGTGACAGCGGGTATTGTTAATACCATTATATTACAATAATATTTCCGAACTCTATTTTATAAATTTTATAAAAACTAACTGTAATTAACTGTTATTTACCTAACATTGTTTTCTTTAAAGGCTTTCTCGTATATTTCTTTCTAATGGCCGCATTTTCTTGGATGAATATAACATGTTTCGACATATGGAAGACTTTTGGGTAAGAAAATTTATTTTTTATAATTTCCCCACTTTAACCCACTTACAATCATCAACATTTTATGTGGAACTGCCTTTCCAGGAAACACCGTGAGCAATTTTTGAACTTTGATCTATTTGTTTATAGCAGCATTTTGCATACAATATCGAGTGTGATTCACCACTCTGCTAGACGTAGCTCTCTGACTTGTTTGAAAAATTATATCTTTAGCAGGTACAACTAGAATCTGCTTCCGGCTGATAGAACCTTGCACATTCTCATGGGTCTAAACAGCTTCTGTTCAATGTGTTCTCTTTAAGCAAGGATATACTTCCAAGGTTGCCTCGAAAAATTACATCAATTAAGTTCATTGACCGTAAAATTATATTTTGAAGTGGTGTTTAAGAATACAGACCAGCTTAAACTTATGTACAACTGACTAAACATTTTGTAGTCTACCATAGTACCGTATATATTCCTTACTAATAATTCAGGCCCGACCTGTGTAGATTTGGCATGGCCTCGAAAATTTAGCTCTTTCCACAGATAAGTCACCCATGTGCTGCGTTTGTAAACTTCTTCGTTGGATTACGCAGATTTTGCATGAGTTCATCGTGGAAATTATCAACACCTTGAGCTTTTGGATCTAGTACTGTGATCGTATTAGACGCATCGTTAGCTGATATCCTCCATGCAGAGATATGTGATGAACTTACGCGGTCAAGAGTGATGAATATATGCATGTGTATGACATTATTATCGAATGTCGCTCATAGTAACTGAGGGCCTCAGATGTTATAACCAGAGTCCGCGAATTTCGGGCCTCACTTTCTGGTTGTCTGCAAAAAATGGGTTATTTCCGACAGAATCAATAACGGCAAAAGAGAACACCTGCATTTAGGTTTCTATGCACCAGACACTGGGTCCGAGCAAAAACACTTTTCGTTCCACGACCACTGAACAGAAAAAAACTGCCAAAGTGTCTTTTGTGGATATGCATGTTTTTGTTGTTTTTTTCTTTCTATTAATTATTGAATGGGTTTTTGCTTATAGCTTTAAATATATACATGTACACTTATAGATCGTGCCCTCTTTCTCTCTCTCTCTCGCTCTAGCTTTCATTGATATCGTCTCACGACAACAACAAGAAAAGACACTTTTAAAGCGACGTCGTTTTGCTCTTCGTCAGACACTTATTTTCTGTGCGATCGGCCGAATGTGTTCTGTCAAGATGTTACTGTTAGATAGAACAGTGTGTATTGCTCAAGCAAAAGCACGAACAGAGTACACAAGCGCAACGAAAAAAAGAGTTCTATGGAGAGCGAAACCGAATCTGCTTCGTTTTTTTCGGTTTTTTTGTGTGCAGATCGCATTGAAAATAACTGTTGACTATTATTTGCGCCTCTGATTATAACAGAACCCCATTATCGAAAAATCACTTATCTATTAAAAAGGAATTTAGGTTAAAGAGCTTGAAAGATGTGAAAATTGTGGAGAGCAATTTTTTGGTATTTCTTCTTCCTTTTTTCGAATGTTCTGGTCGGTGGCACCACAGCTCTTTGCTACCTAAATCGTGTGTGGTATGGGCCAGAATTATTACATATGCATTCTAATCAATGGCCTACTCCAACCGAGCCCCAATAAGATATGACCATAGAGCAACGCGCGATTAAAGTAAACCTCCCTCCCACGGCTACCTCATTCCCCTTGCTTGGGGCTTGTCTAATTTAGGCAGTTCTTTCTATTTTTTCGCTTAAGTGTGCCGCAAATTGGTCATAAACAGATTACAAGCAATTGTACTTGGCTTGCGTGGCCACAAGATCACTGACTGCTGTTGCCTTGGCTGAGAGCTTTGGAAAATAGCTCGTATTTACGTTTTACCATAATGTGCATGCAGTGCAGCGAAATCGTTCCTAATGTATTCTTACAATATTTAACAGTTATTGTTCGTGAATTATTGAGACCCAAGAAATACCTATGCATTTTTAATTTGCTCGTAGTCCTGGTACTTTGCTAACGTTTTTGCTCTTACCAAGTGAATTGTTCAAAGAATACATTTAAGCATAAAAATGTAGTTAGCAAATAACTTTAAACATATAAAGACATACAATTATTTAATAGTACAGCGGGTATAGCCCGGCCTTGCCCGTGACAAGGTTTTCCGCCATTTTACCACTGTTGCGAGTGGAATTTCCCAAATCGCTGAAAGACGTGTTCAATATATTCTTATGTAGAGCTTATAAAATAAGTTTGATGCAAATCGGACACAGCTTAAAACTCACACAAAATCTTTAAAATGCACTTTAGATTTTCAAAAAAAAAAAAAAGATTTTTTATTTAGATCCTTTTAAATGAATTTGAGGGCGAAAAGTCACCAAATTTTGAACCTCTATTTCCAGCAAGGAGAGATGGATTTACTGAAACATCCCTCAAATGAATGTGAACAAATTTCTTTGTAAATGAGTTTGGGGCCGATCGGATAGTAAACAAGAAAGAAAGAAACAAACGGATTTCACGATTTTTCCACACATGCGGGTGGAATTTCCCGAAACCCCTTAACGTGCACCTACATCACATAGGGTAACTACGCTTTCAGCTTCGTAGGCCATACAGTTGATCACCAATCAGTCAGTCAGTCAGTCTGGACAAACCGTTTTATATATAGAGATAATGTTATGTATGAGTGGGCACACATGCAAATTAATATGCACAGTAATTTTAGTTTAAACTAGAAAGAAAGGCTATTTTCGGCATGCCGAAGATCTAATACCTTTGCAGACCCAACCTTTTCAAAATGCTTTTAGTGTTTTGCCCGTATCTAAGAATCACAGGGAAAAAAGTTAATGCCGAGTTTGGTCAAGATATCTTGATAAACAAAAAAAGGTTTAAATCAAAAACCTAGTTTTCGACTGATCGTTCCTATGGCAGATATATGATATAGTAGTCCGATGAAAATAAGATTTATCAAAAATGAAGGGAGCATAGTGAAAGCTTTAAATGCCGTGTTTAATCAAAATATCTTGAATGACAAAAAAGTTTTCCAAACAACAACTTAATTTTCGACCGATCGTTCCTATGGCAGCTATATGATATAGTGTACCGATCTTAATAGGATTTTGCATTTATATGAAGAGCACAGTAAAACTAATAAATGTCGGGTTTGGTCAAGATATATTGAAAACAACAGCTTAATTTTCGACCGACGTTCCTATGGCAGCTATACGATGTAGTGGTCCGATCCAGCTGGTTTTGACATATGTATGTGTTGCGTGCAACAGAAAGAGGGACTTCTGCAAGGTTTCATAAAGATAGCTTTTAACTGAGGGACTAGTTCGCATAGAAACTGACAGACGGACAGACGGACATGGCTATATCGACTCGGCTGTTGAAGCTGATCAAGAATATATATACTTTATGGGGCGGAGATGTCTACTTCTATGCGTTACACATTTCACGACAAAATTTAATAGCCTCTGCAAGGGTATAAAAATGCTTTAATTTGCATGTGTGTATTTAATTTATTAATTTAAAATATATGCATGTGATATATATGAGGGAGACGAAAGCATATGTACGTATGTTAAGTCAGTATATAGGAACTTGCATACATCAATATTGCAAGCGCCCTGACCGAGCAGCGTTATTGCTTATGCTAAGTCGGCTTGACGGTTGTAGTCTCGAAGCTCATGCATTTATGATAGCTTATGCCTCTGCTGGCTGGTGGTTTTTGTATAATTTCTAATTTCATAGCTTAAAGCGACACTCGACCTATCAATAAACGATGCCCGGCACTTTCCGTTAAGTCATACGTTTCATTACTGAGCCAAAAGGCCAGCATTCTACACAAGTGAAGTCAAACATTGATTTACGCTGAGAGACCGCCACCGGCACACTTACAACATTGGATTAGATACCATTACATTCATCGTTAATGCAATCTGCATAATTTATATGGCGATTTTTTTCACTATGGTTCCCTTAGTTCATGCTTAGATAGCTTTGTGAAATATAGATAGAGAAAAAAGTTATGGGTGTGTATTCAGACAGAAATGCCGGATGAAAAATGCCACTCGTTTTAGTAGAAATTTAAAAAAGTGCAGTTGGCACTACGGACCACAATATTGTGTTAGGTAAGTGCAAAGCTTCCTAATTGATTTTTTTTGTTATTTTCTTTCTTTTGTACTGCTACTGATGTTTGCTGGCTAACTCGAGATTGTTTCTGAATATATATATATATACGGCTCGATCGACCAATGGTTGTAGTAGGGCGTCCACAAAATGTTTTAGAACAGACTTATGTAGCTCCCTAAAAGGACGGTCGATACTTGTGCTGAAAATAAAATTAAATTAATTACATATTGAAAAGTATTGATTGAGGTTGTTCCTGCAATTACTCAAAACTTAAGCGCAGTACTGCCGTTAGATAGAAAACCGTATGAGATAAGACTGCGGTAAGATTCTAATGGAATATGTACCTTTGTTTGCTCCATACGAGAGTAAGTGTGAACCACTACTTTGCTATACGTAGCTGCCTAACTTTTGTGAACAGTTCTACCTTCTGTAGGTACAACTGGAAACTGCCTACGGCCAATAGAAACTTGCTCATTTCTTCTATATTTAAAAATTTTAACTATCTTTTGGATTGGGATCTAAAAAGATTCTGTACGATGCGTACACTTTGAGCTGGCAAGAACTCTTACGGTATCATTTGAGAATTTCATCCATAAAGCTATTGGAGTGCTGGATGCATCAAAATCTGTTTATATTTACATGCCTGTTGCCCCATTAACTAATCCATCCCGAATATCTACAGTAACCGTAATCAAATATTTGGCAGTTGTTTTTTAGTAGAAGAGAAAAACATAATCCCTGTGTTCCGGAAGACCTAAAGCTAACGGTTTGTAAAATTCTCTGTCTACAAGCCGCAGTTAAATGTGTTGCTTTATCATAAGCGCTAGAAATAAATTGATGCTTCGGAATTAAGTTTAGCTTTATCGTGCTATAACTATATGTCGACGCAG